TATGTTACTATGAGTAGCACCCCTAAGAAGCTGTTGTAGAATTTCTCTTCCACTGGAGAAATTTGGGGAGATTTTCAAGGGGCCATTCAAGAAGTGGGGATTATTGTGTCAGTTTTCCTGCTTATAATGCCAGCACTTCTGTCCTGGTTTCTAATGTTCCTCTTTTCACTGCATGACCTGTTGCCTTATGGAACTGTGGCTTTTTGATCAATACATTGCCATATCACTTTGCATTTCATTCACACCAGCGGGTGTGGTGTGCCACAACAGCAGACGTCATCAGATAACGCCACAATCACCCAAGTGTTCATGTGCACTTCTGTTCCCTCATGATTTACCCATGAAAAGAACTTTATGCCAGAATACTGCCCCCAATTTTGCCCTATGATTATTCTTTTTCAGTTAATGAGGTTGCATAAAGATTCACACACACCCCCAGAAACAATTAATACTGGAATGACCACTAAATTCCAGCCAGATTTAGCTAGATTTCCTGAAGTGGCTTTTATTTCCCGTGAATGGTAGCAAAAACTGCAAATATTATCAGGTAAGGAAGCATCAGTAATAAAGTACCGTTGGAATGAAGCTTTAGGTGCACATCTGAATAATGCACATGTCCTCTGATCTAGCACATGACTATTTGAGCCCATGCATATTTCCTTATTTAGATCCAGGCAATTGTCTTTTGCTTTTGTACTTTTCTTGAAATGCATGCAAAAATAAAGTCCCATTATTACCAGTGAGAATTAAAGCAAGAGTATAGAAGTTCACCAGCATCAGGTGTGCTGAGGAGCCAGGCTCCTCCCTCCATCAATTGTCACCTGGCAGCAGCCATTATATCCCTCTTTTGCAGAAGTTATTCCATTTGTGCAGCTGACAGCCCAGCAATTTTGGTTCTTCCCGTCCTTGAACATTTCCATCCCTGCTGGTCCTTAGAAACCCTTGAGCTTATATCTAAGTTTGGTATTTCCCCACTCTCTCCCAAATCATTTTTCTTTTTTGTGTTGTGTTGTAAGCCTGAGGAAAGGGACATGTTTGTAGGGATCTGTAAACGATGCTGGGAGCTGAAGAGTGACAAAAAACTTTATATATATATGGTGTAGCTCCATTGGAGTGCACAGGTTTTTAACTATATGCTTCATCTTTTTCAACTTCATTTTTGTACTGAAATTACCTTATTACTGAACATCTGGGTTGCGGTGGGTCCTTTTCAGTTGAGAGAACAAATCTTTGTTGTTCTTTCCTTAGAACCACTCGTTTCAATCATATATCGAAACGTCTTGACATTAGCAAATTCTTTCCCTCAAGGCATTTTTTTATTTCTTGTGCCTTTTTTTAATTAAGCTTCCTCAAATCCCATCACATTTAGTTATCTAGGATCAGTGATGAGACGAGTCTAATTTTTTTTTTTTTTAATATCTGAAATGAGAAAGGCAAAAATGTTATTGAAGCATTGCTCAATAAATGGATTTTTTTTAAATAAAAGAGAATCATTAACTTCAAAGATCAAACATCTTTTGGGCTGATGGAAAGTGTGACACTCTCTTCTCTCCCCCCCCCCCTTCATAATTCATGGAGGAACGTAAATTTTCTTTTTGGAACCTGAATAAAGTTATTAGAGGCAGCAGCAGGTATTTTATCATTGTCATCAGCAGGCAAAGGATTAATTGCTGTCACTGTTCATACGATGGCACCTTGTGGGGTACAAATTACATTTTTGTAACCTCAGGACCTTAATCAAAAACAACACGATCAAAGCTCACATTAATCTGTTGCAGCCAGCAGCCGTCGCCTTACCCATTGCAAACGGATGCAAGGTCAGCAGTGCAGACTTTTGAAAAAGAGGGAACAGACTTATCAGGAATGTGCACATGGTGTGGTCCAGGAGCAACAACATTGTGGAAATCAAGTGAACACAAAATGAAAAGGCACATTTATTTTAATGGCCTTTCAGTTGGTTTGCTAAATGCTGAATCAAAACAGTTGTGTGTATTCCAACCTCCCTGCCAAAAAATCTCTCCCCCCCTCCCAATGCCCACTGAGCCTTATGAATCGGGCCAGCGTGGAAATGTCGACAGGAGTGGAGGGAGTAATTGAACTTTTATTAAATAGACAATGGTCAAAATATTTTCCGATCCAAAATGCAGTTATACTCTTGGTGGCTAATTTCTAAAATAAGATCCACTGAGACTGCTTTGAAGTATTATGTCATGAAGTAGATGACTTCACCTTCTCATGTTGTAATTCCAGATGTGAGTGGGCTGGGCTGGGAGGGGGAGGCAGGACTATGATTATTGAGCACCAACACATGTATACCAGAAAAATAATCAAGATTGACAGCTATCCAGGGATCGTACCAATTCAGAACCTTGGTGGCAGATCTCAAATATGAATGCTTCATTTTATTATTATTTTAGCCTCCATAGTTATGGACATTTAGTGAATCATTGAGATGTTCAGTAAATTAGACCCCTCTCTGATATGAAGGAGCACAGGACTGCCAAATAGAGGACTGTCATAGGTAAGTAAGGACACATGGTCATCTTAGAAGAGAAGTAGATAGGATCTGGCCTGTGGGACCTGTTTTCTAGTTATGCAGTAAATGAAAAGAGGTTTTCAAGTTGCTTTGCTTTCAGAAGTAAATGTAATGAGTATGAGTTACTCGTGCATAAACTGGTGCCTCTCTAGGCTAAGTTGCCTTGTTAAACCTTTCTGACTGCACAGCCCTTTCTCATCGTGGCTGCCTCAGTCGCTGGCAGAATCCGTCAGTGGGCGTTTCTTGAACCTCTTCCAACATAAAAGTTGTTTGACACCCAGTCTCCTCCTCCTCTCACTGCGCGGGAGTCTTCTGCGCAGGGAGGGCGTGGGTAGCGGAGGACCTGTCCCCTCCTCACTGAGATCCAGTGAAGAGTCCTGGAGCCCTCTCTCCGATTCCCCCATCTGCCCCCCTTTATCCCTGGTGTGGCGCTTAAATGCTTCCCCCTCTACTGAGCTGTTTCTCCCCCTGCTGCTGGGTCCTTCGCCAGCATCATCTAGGAGCCTCCCCTTCACCTCTCGCTCCGATGTCAGTTCCCTGACAGTAAACATGGATGACTTCCTTGATGTCATTGCATACAAACATTGCACTCTCAGTTAAAATATCGTGGAAGCTTATTCCATCAGTGTATGCGTGTTCCTCTTCTTTAGCTGTACTCACTCCCAGGGTGAAGCAGCATTTATACACCAAGCACAATTACTGAACTCAGTGCCACTTCAAAAGCCAGCCTCTTCTAGCTTGCAGCATGGTGCTCACTCACTAGGTGGTGGTCTTGTTGATACTGGTCACTTTGGGGCTGACTAGGAATTGTTTTCTCTCAGTCTCAGTTAGTCAGGGATGATAAATTTATTCGCCTACAGCAACTGATATAAATGATTGCAATGATGAGCCATATTCATTGGTTTTCAAGTTGCTTTGCTTTCAGAAGTAAACGTGGATGACTTCCTTGATGTCATTGCGTACAAACATTGCACTCTCAGTTAAAATATCATGGAAGCTTATTCCATCAGTGTATGCGTGTTCCTCTTCTTTAGCTGTACTCACTCCCAGGGTGAAGGAGCATTTATACACCAAGCACAATTACTGAACTCAGTGCCACTTCAAAAGCCAGCCTCTTCTAGCTTGCAGCATGGTGCTCACTCACTAGGTGATGGTCTTGTTGATACTGGTCACTTTGGGGCTGACTAGGAATTGTTTTCTCTCAGTCTCAGTTAGTCAGGGATGATAAATTTATTCGCCTACAGCAACTGATATAAATGATTGCAATGATTAGCCATGTTGGCATCTTCAAAAGGCTGGTCATAATGTTAGCAATATTTAAAGCAACACGATGTCCAGAAACAATTACAAGGTGAAGAACTTTATAGGAATAATTATAGGAAGTCTCTGAAAGTCTCTTAAATGAATCACGGTGCCAGACTTTACCCGGCAGAGAACAAGCTGTGAAGCTTTGTATAATCAGCAAATTTCCAATTCTGATGTCCAACTTTGAACTCTGCTGAACAGTGTTTCCGGATAACAACTACTGTTTCGTTGATTTCTTCATCAGCCAATTAGTTCAACACTCATAAGTAGAAAGATATATAATTTCTTTATTAACTAATCTTTTTTCGAATAGATATAATGTAGTGACTACATAATCGCATGAGCACTGTTCCAGAGTATTTTTCATTCTCATGTACATTATATCTGTTCAAAAAAAGATTGGTTGAACTAATTGAACTGATGAAGAATTCAACGAAACAGTAGTTGTTATCCGGAAACACTGTTCAGCAGAGTTCAGAGTTGGACATCAGAATTGGACATTTGCTGATTATACAAAGTTTCACAGCTTGTTCTCCACCGGGTAAAGTCTGGCACCGTGATTCATTTAAGGACTTGAAGAGACTTTAAGAGACTTCAGTTTGTTAGTTTTGATGTTTTGAACTATTCCTATAAAGTTCTTCACATTGTAATTGTTTCTGGCCATCATGTTGCTTTCGATATTGCTGACTCATATTTTGCGACACAAGGGTTTGTTTGTTTGGTTGGTTGGTCATAATGTTAGGCAGGACAAAGGTAAGGGTAATAGCAGAGTCACTGTGGAGTGACCTGAGGCACCTTTATGGTGACAGACAATTCTCGAGACTGCCTCCTTAGAGCCATGGGTCCAGAGTCCAGGGAAAGGACACCATTTTGAGCGTGAATCAGCTTACCCACCTAACATTGTGGAACTGGGTGGGTGCGTGTTAGTTGGAAGGGCATCTTTCAACATTTAAAGGTGTGGTCTCTGGGGAGCAAGCATATGATGTACAACATGTAGCCCTGATGGGTTGGGGTTTTGAATTCAAAGAAGAGGGATAAGCAGCCAGTTTTGGTTCACACCTCAGTTGTGGCTCCTGCACAGCATTTCTTCTTGTTTGAATCCTAGAATCATAGCATTAGAAGGGATCCTCAGGATCATCTAGTCCAAGGTCTATGCAGCTGTCCCTTATGGGGGTCAAACCTGCAACCTTGACGTTATCAGCACCATGCCTTAACCAACTGAGCTATCTAACTGTTAAACAGCTTGTTCAGATAAAGTCACACTGCTCTCTACTTTCAAGAGTTTCCCAGATTCTTAAGCATCACCTTAGCATTTTGACAAGAGAGTCATGAAACTCTTGAAGCACATTGAGACATACTGTATTTCTAAAACTCCATTTGATGGCAAAAACTATTTTTCAACATCTCTTGTCTGAGAAATTGAGGTGAGATGAAGCCACCATGAGTTTGTAGATGTGGAGGACAATTGCTTCCCCCACTGTAATTCTGTTCTTCTTTACAGATACATAAGGAAATGGTATCAGTTCCTGGAGGAATGTTTCACATTTACTAAATGCTCCCGGGGCATCAAGATAACCACTTTAAAATGTTGAACTATTAAACGTTTTGTTGATTCATTCTTTCACCTTATTTCAATTGAGCCTCATGACACATAATACCTTTGCCAAGTTAACAAGCTTTAGGGAAAGCCACTTACTCAAGAAATGCTGACTGCGCAAGTCTTTTGTCAAATTTCAGGTTGAACACAAAACTAAGTCTGCAAAGTTTTCCTTTCCACCAGTGTTCACTAGCGCCTTATGTGTGTGCAGACAAACTGAACAGCCTCTGGAAATGACCAGACTAGGCATTCAGTGACTGCTGACTTTGCAGGTAGTGACTCTGGAACCTTTCCAGTCTGCTTTTATAAAACAACCAGCATTGTTGAACAGGATTCTGAAGCCGTATATGCCACCACTTCCACTATTTTCATCTTTAAAAATTAACAAGTGTTCATAAATTCATAATTTTTTTCCAGAGGCAGGCTGTTACCAGAATATAATCAAAGTTTTATATTTGAAATGAAAGACTTCCATCATGTTCCTATGAAAGAAAGAAAGAAAGAAAGAAAGAAATGTATTTAAAGCCCAAGGACAGAAGTATAAGCTCAGGAAAACTGTTTTTTCGGTAATGGAAGTATTTCCTTTTCTCCCCGTCCCCTGCCCAACTATCTGGTGTGTAAAATATATGGACACCTTATTACTTGTAGGTGGAAAGATCTTTTTCCTATTTCCTTTTATTAGGTCTATCCTTATTGGAAAAAACAAAACCATCACTCAAAGCAACTTGCTTATCAGACTTTTCAAACATAGCTTTCAAACATTCTCAGTCTAATATTTATATTAGTCTATAGTTGATAATAGACTTTTTTATTGAAGACAGGTTTTTGTGCATTAACGAATGTTTGCACTTTTAGTTATATTTTGTTTAGGCAGCAATCCTATACCCATTTCTCTGGAAGAAAGTCCTATTTAATTCAGTAGAACCTATTTCTGAGTGGACATAAGCATTTCATTGTTTTAAAGGTTGTTACTTAAAATGACAATTAGAAACAAGACAATTATAAACCCAAATATGGATTATTATTTTTTAAAAAACTGTAAAATGTGAAATTATTTTTGGAACATACACATCTACTGAAGGCATATGCCACTACAGTATAACTTCCACCACGATAAAATCAACACCCTTCAACCATTCCCCCATAATCCTTCCTTCTGATTTAATCAACAGAGCGGTGAAGATCCTCCTTGTGTTGGTTATCCTTGCCCATTTCTTTGGCTCATACAGACCTTAAATAATCTAGCAAAACTAGAGAGCTGAAAGTGGTTTACAAACAATAAACAACAATAATATAAGAGTACATGACAAATATGAAATTGTATAGAATCATTAAGATTCCTCTGGAAACAGCTCCCTTATGAAGGCTCTTAGGGCTGGAGGGTGGGGCAAGGCAGGTGGAAAAAGCCATAGTTACTACTCATGGCTTAAAGGTAAAATCACTGTCTGTATGACTGAGGTGGATAGTTATCTATCAATAATATAGCTGTTGGTGATTCAACAGCCATATTTTCAGCTTTTGTGCCTCCACCTTGTCTCATGTCCTTTAAACATAGGAGATAGTAAAGTGAGGGGGGGTATAACTGTCTCCATGTAAATACTGAGGGCAGCCATGTTTACTGCCCCACCCCTAAACTCAATGACATTCTCATGTGAAAAGTGGCAATGCCAGATGCATATCCCTTCCACATATTCAAAAAAGAAACAAGTATATTGATTTGTTAACTGTACATAAGTTGTTGTATCATGACCTAAACGTGATTTTCGGCGTTCATTGGTGAGAATGTCCAGAAATTCCCTATCATACCAACTGCATTATTGCTCAGGGTTTGTTCAGTGTTTGTGATCTGCGAAAGTACCACCAACTCAATTGGTGTGCACAGGTTTAACAAAGTGGAAATACTGCCCAGTTATGAAAGATGACATGTTACAAAATCTGAGCAGCTTCCTTAGCTGTTACTGTTGTCTTATTCATTGTGTCATTGCAGTTTTCAAATGTGCTGGTCCTGGAGGGTTAGACACTCCCAATGTCTCCACATATAACTCTTGTTTATCATTGAAACCTCCCATTGTGTTTATAAGGCACTCTTTACATTTAATATTTATGGTAGCTTTTAAAACGCAGACTAATTAGAAACTGTCACATTGTCTTCCGTTAATGTATCCCCCTACACAGCTTGAGACTGCAGGGAATGTTAATAGCTCTGAAAAATGCAGGCCTTGTGCTTTTACAAAATATAGCTGCAATGATCAACTTTGCAAAATCTTTATTAGTCAAGATTCTTTCTTAAGTTCAGTTTTGGGTCACGAGCAACTTCCTTTTCTTTCCACCTTGATTGAGGTGGGGTTTTCCCCCCTTCCCTTTTATTGGTCAACCAGTCCAGAAAACTGAATCTGGACAAACTTCCTTGCAGAAGATAAAGTGAGAAAAACCTGGAGTCCTTGTTTAGTGAACTTTTTCATAAAACGATGGCTAAATCCCTAGGTGCATATGGTGAACTTGGAGGTATCTGTGGCTAGTCAGAGTGAAGTGGGATCTCTACAAAGTCAATGCAAGGTTCCTGGTTGACCCTTGGTGATCTAGGCATTAAAAAATGCTGCAGACAAGAGTAATACTGTATATCTAAGTCTATTTGGTAATCTGGCACTGGCCACAGGGCTGTTCCAGCAGCCTCTTTCCTATGTTCCTAATTGTTTTCTATTGCTTTAAAATGTGGATTTATTTGGTATTATTTGCATATATTGGTGATTTTTAAAAATAATGCTCTAAACCACTTTTGGCAAAACATTAAGGGGTATATAAATTACCAGGAAAAAATAATAGCCCATAATCTTAATGAGGCTTCTTTCCTTCTTCCCTTTCTACCTATGGACTTTCATATGGACTTTGATTCTTCATCCTTCATTTTGGAAATGTGTGTTTGTGTGTGTACATGCAAGTAAGGGGAGGGGGAAATCTTGGCAAATGTAATTTCTTTAAAAATGAGGGTTATGGCATCCATGGATGTTCTGAAGATGAGGGTATTTAAGCACCTTGATGAAATCCACAGCAGGGGCTGCATTCTTTATTAGTTAAAATGGTAAAATGTCAGCATGGATTGAAATTAGAATTCTTTCATATCCGCAGTCATCTCAGTTATTCTCCACCCCACTCATAAATACTTGTGAAGTGAAAATAGCTATTACTCCTGTTAATCTCGGCAGGAAATAACGTGCTCCTGCTAGTTTACACAATCTGTGTTGGTTGCTGTGAGGCAAAGACAGATGTTGTCAAAGGAGCAACAGCAGGCATTCCTTTAAGAAGCATCTGCATTAGAACTGCATGATATCCAGACAGCAAAGCCAACAAGTTTCCTTTGGTTTGGGTTCATGCCACATCAAATGGGCATAAAGGTTGAATGTGATAAAGTGTTGGAATAAGTAGCTTTACAAACAGCCAACTGAATGTATGTAAGTAAGCAGGAAATTTGAATTATGTCCTGGATGGCAGCCCTGGATGAATGGCAGTCAATAGACTGAGGTTGAATCCCGACAAGTCAGAAGAACTGTTTCTGGTGGACTGGGGGAGGGCGGGTGTGGGGAACTCCCTGGGCCTGAATAGGGTAACTGTGGGCCTGAATGGGGTAACTGTCAACATGCAGAGGGCCGGGAGGCCAGCTGGCAAGCCCAAGCTGTGCCGTCTCCTTCCATTGGCCCGTGCTCCGACATAAATCAGTGACCTGGACTTCAAAAGCTAGGGCATGCTATTAGCAGAGTGTACTGCGCACACAGAAAAGGCATGAGGCTTGTGAAGTCATTCTACAGCTACAGATTTATTAAACATAAATCAGGACAAAGAAACATGTCGTCTCTCTCTCTCATGTTGCCTCAGAGAGAACAGTAAAAGCAAAAGCTATACACAAACAGAAGTTCCCAGCATACTGTGCTGGAATGTAAACAGTCATGTGACACACAACAATTCCACATGCCTGTTCCTTAAGGTGGAATGGAATTCTCAACAGTAACTGTGTCCTAAAGGACCAGGTGCACAGCCTGTGAGACATGTTGGACTCACCACTGCCCAAGGAGTTGCAGGTCAATTCTGTGTCCAGGGCACAGCTCCATTTGGTATGCCAGCTGATACACTACCTGCCTGCACACTGTCTTGCCAGAGTAGTACATGCTCTGGTTATCTCCCATTTGGACTATTGCAATGCACTCTACATAGGGTTGCCTTTGAAGGTGACTCAGAAACTACAACTGGTGGACAAGTTGCATTTCTATCAGAGTGCTCGTCTTCATCCCTTTCAGTGCTATGTCTACTTATTTATTTGTTGCTATTGTTGTTACCAAAATCAGTGTGTGTGGGATCGTGTGTGTAATAACTGACCAGGGTGCTTGATTAGACATCTGAACTGAGAATTAGCCGCCCCTGTTCTAAGCAAAATCCTACTCCTGGTTAACCTTCATTTCAGCAGTATAATTTAGAGCAGAGGGAAGGAGTTTGTAGTTATTGTTGTTAAATACATGGGAGTCAGAAATGCTTGCCTGTCTCCTGCAAATCATTCAGAAATTTGCCAGGAGACCCCAGTCTGTCTTCTGCCCACCTGTGATCTATAATGTGAAAACAAATCCTCAGCACTGGGACTTGAACAGC